TAGCCTCCAAAATCGAGCTATGGGCCTTCGAAGTTCGAAATTGGACCTTTGGTAAAAAATTATTTTTAATTACTGTATGTAAACTACTAAAAAAAAGTAAAAACATAGTTGTGGTACACCTTTGCTCTTATATAAACGGTATATAACTTTTTTTTTTTGTGCAAACTTATATTACGGTTACTATAGGGGGTTAAAGGTCAGATATTCGAAAAATTAAAAACCTTATAGATATTTAAAAAAATTTTGAATTGATTTTTAAAAAAATTGTGGCACCTGTAATATATGTAGGTTTGCACAAAAAAAGTTATATACCGTTAAAATAAGAGCACAAGGCGAACTACGCCTATATTTTTACTTTTTTAGTTATTTACATACATACAATAATTAAAAATATTTTTTTACCAAAGGTCCTATTTCGAACTTCGAAAGCCCATATCTCGATTTCGGAGGCTAACTTCAAAAAACGGAGAAATTANATAAAAAAACTGAGAAATTACTTTTTTACTTATGACTCAATCTCTTGAAAAAAATTGTTTAACTTCCTTCTTATCATAAATGGGAAGTATCAATCAGCAGCAATTTAGTATTATTTTAATCGATTGCCAAAGGTCACACAATGAGATATCAACAAATATTCGAAAAATTTAGTTTATACGAAAAACTATATAAACTCATGAATATGGAATGAATACTTACCATCCCATATCTGGGGACACTTTGCGGATAAACTGTAAAAAATGTACTAATTGATTAGTTCACAGATATACCCACTGAGTCGCGCTTATAGATGAAGGCCTACCCAACATGATACTTCAAGCTTAGCACACAGCTAAAATTTCAAACTCAAGTGAAATTTGACACACTTTTTCCATGAATTAAAATTTTCAAAAGCATCCATTCATTATATATTCTGGCAATGATGTTTAACGATATTCAGGGAATTTGAAATATTTTCGGGTTTAAAATATCTCACTCATAATTTTTTACAGTTGAATATTAGGAAAATGCATGTGACACAGCTCTTGAGGGGCCGGGGGAATTTCCATAGCGGTCGAGGTGTTAGCTCAGTAGGGTTTAGGGGATATGCGAAGAGATGTTATATGTCTCGAGTCGTGCAGTATCGCAGTATCCACATGCCGGGCACTCATTGGGCACATCTGCATCTAACCTGCTCAGGTACGAGCTTAGCCTGTTGTAGTAGCCAGAGCGTGCGAAGTTGGGCTATTGTGGTGCCAGTCTCCTGAGGCGCACAAAGCTCTGTCTCGTCCACGTCAGGTAGTTGTGTTCCTAAAATGGCATTCACACGTAAAGAGTCAATGTGAGTCTACTGTCTCTCTGTGAATGCCGCTTATGACCTGGAGGCATTCTTGGGGGTTCAATTTTAGTAAAGAGTTTATTTCCTCACGCTTCTCAAGGCTTTTCCATAACATCTAGCAAGTAATTATTTGGTAAATTATTGTGAGTAAAACATAGTGATATTCTTTGTCAAAAGATAATTTTTGGGTAAAATGCACAACTTATCTTTTTCACAGCCACCAAATGTTGTGAAAAAAAAACTTTCCACGGTGAAGACTTTTTGACCAACAAAGTTTTTTTTTTGTTTTGAAACCAGAATCCTAATTTTATGTGAAGTGCTGAAAAATGTTTTCACTTTACGTTTTCCAGAACAGAAATTGTCTCCAGTACTGACGAGTCATTTAATTAAATCATTACACGACTCAAAGTGCGACTGTTAGTGCTTCAAAGGAAAAATCATGTGGCTTTGACTTAATCCATTTTGACCTACATATGTGTGTATATTTTAGCAAGTCAGTTCCATTTGTATCAGAATTTAAATTGTTCGATTCTCTCGATGTCTGCAATTTTTTTATTTATTTTTGGCGAGACAAAGCCTAATTATTTATTGGTAAAAGGTTTACATAGCCCAGTGGCATTGAACCCAGCCATATGCACATTTGTATGTATGTATGTGGAATACGCATACGAAACCAGCACAAACTCGAGCAAAAAATACAAAATTAGTAATCGAAACCTGATTGAAATTTCTTTTCGTTATTTTGATTTTTTTTTCGGATTTCACGTGCTTTGTATTCTTAAAGACGAGATTGATCGTTATATATATGTATGTATGTATGTAGAAATGTGGTTTGTTTTAATACCCTGTAGGGAAACCGCGAACTAGTCAATCAAATTTCTAGTTCCGTACTAGATCTTTATCGCCAAAAACGAACCAGACCGATAGTAACTAGATCGCCAACAGTTCAAAGTCAGCGAAATGTGGTATTTTTTAAAAACTATTTTATTTCACTTTTTTCATTAGAAATCTATATCTGAGGTGTCGAATTTAGAACTGGTTCGGAACTATAGAAAAAGGAAGGCAGAACGAACAGGATCTTATCTGTCGAATTTAGAACTATCGAAGAAGGTATGCAGCGGGCGGGTTGTTTACTTTACATAGATATGTGTTTGGTGGCTTTTTCGTTCAAATACGCTTCCATTCTGCACTTCGCAGATGCCTTTTCATAGCTTGGTAAAACAAAACAAAAATTTGTGTTAACATTTTAACATCTCGGGATCTTCTGGAATCTAACTAATGTAAACGCACATTTCTTACTATCACTCAAACAAATTTAATTTTAAATTGAAAACACCTATATTTGAAAATAATTTAAAATCCCACACACGGAAGAACCAAAGAGATTAAAAAATCATGATACTTTTTCTTTCGTCTATCGATTTTAGAACTGGTTCGGAACTATAGAATTTAGGAATAGTACGGAACAATCGAAAAAGGGGGGCAATTGACACTTTCTAGGACATCGCGAGTTGTTTGCATGCAAAAGAGATTTATCGCGCACCAGTACTGGGTCTCAATGTACTAGAAGCGCACCAGTTTAGTACTAGAGATTTTCCCCATAGGGTAGATTTTTGTCTTGTTTATATTTATTTTGGTGATTAAATTAAAATTCCAAATATGTGTCGTCGAGTTTTTTTTTAAGAAATACAATTTCTAAGCAGTACTTGAAGATACATACATAGGTATGTAAGTATGTACACACATGCATACGTGCGGTGTGTATGTAATTGAGGCACATGAGTGTTTGAGAAATTTAAGTTTAACCAGGCGATTTAAAATATATTTTAGCAAACCGCTTTTATGGTTCATAAGTAAATAAAAATGCTGGGGATCTGCCTGTGATGTTTGTATGTGTATCTAATTGTAAATAAATTGCAGGTATTTAATTATAAAGCTATATATTAATTTATAGCCTCATCCATATTTATTTAAAAAATTACCGAACGTTTTTTAACGAATAATTTTTTTAATATTTTTAATTATGGGCATACTTTCAAAATATTTTATATATTTTATACATATATAGCTGGGCTACTTCACCCAAGCATAGCTGAAACCGAAATTGGGAACCAAAAGCCGTAACACAACATACCATAACATAAAAAAGTGAGCTAAATATATTTCTCTCAAAAAAAGTGAGCTAAATATATTTCTCTCAACACTCAGAAAAAGCATCCCTTGATGCTAGGATTATTCTAAGGAAATATTACCTGCGATCTCAGAACCTAAAGCAGTAGGCTTCACGCGACGCCACATCCGACATTTGCCAGGAAAGCAATTAACTTTGTCTTAACAGCACTGACAAAATTCAAAGTTATTAAGGAAATTATTACTTATATTGATGACATTATTACTTATATTGTGTAAATTTACTTCTTCAAATTCATGACGCCCTATTTTTAAATTAAGGAAAAATTTGTGTAATTGAGTAAATTTTTCGTAATATTAAGGAAAAAACAGTAACTCGAAAATGGGGATACTGTTTTCTTGATTTAAGGAAATGCTTTTTTCTGAGTGAACACATGATTTGGCAACTGTATCCAAATGATATAACCATAACCAAATCATTTGTTGAGAAAAACATATTCAGTTGACGTAACGAAATTCTTTTCTCAGTGTAACTAAAAATCCAAAACTCACTTTTTTATTGATTATGATGTATTTCATCGAACTAAACTCCCCATATCCTTTTATGCAATAAAATGTTTTTAGTTAGTTACGACTTTTTTGCATTACAGCGACGATGCGACGTAGGGCCTTCCTTTATTAAGATTCAAGGCGAATTCATACAAGGTGCTAGCGGCAGTACAAAAACAAAAAACAAAACTACACTAACAAATTATACGCATGATGACAATCAGAACACAAATAAGTGAAAATGCCTAAGTTCGTGCGTAGCCGTACATTCAATACCCGACGCACGCATTAAATATAGTTTTTTCACCTTTCCGAAAACTACCGTTACAGGGCATGCGGCGGTGGTTTTACCCCTATTTCACACATCTTCGCTTAGACTTAATGAGATAAACTTATATACTTGTTATAAGTGGGCAGTATCATGCCCATTTTCCAAAGTTTCATGATAATGTTACTTCTTTTCAAGGGTTTATTGTGAGTTTAAATGTTGAGTAAATTATCGTTCTTAAATTTTGATACATCGAAGTTTCAAGCATATCTGAAATTTACCGTTATATGAGAAGTGGGCGTAAATTTAGTCCGATTTAAAAAATTTCCTGTGTCTTGCTTTTATGTGGCAAGTGCAATAACTATAACGAGTTTGTGGTCATAAGTGGACGGTGTCACGCCCATTTTCCAAAATTTTGTTGTTTTTTGCTAAAGAGTTATGAGTGCGCGCGAAAGTGGGTGTTTTTGAATTTTCGTTCCCTCTTCTTCCTTGAGCGAAGAATAACTGAAATTTGACATTTGTGTACCGAAAGCAAAAACAAAATATATATATGTGTTTGTTTTTGTACTACCGCTACCACCATATATGAATTCACCTTGCTTCTAAGTGAACTTCATGAGTATAAAATGAGTCTTTTATAATCATAAATTCTGAGCACTCAGAAATTTGTTTAAAGGGTATAATTTTTCTTCTTGAAATTTTATTACATTCATAACTTTTCATTCAAAATTAATAAATTTTTTCTTTCACTTCCAAAATTTTTAGTAAAAAATCAAAATTAGGAAAATTCAACAAAAAATTTACCAAACATGAACATTTTAGTCATAACGCTATTGGCCTCACTGGCGGTAAGTTAATAAAATGCCACTTCCCTTTCAAAGTAACTTTCAACTAAGTACCTTTAACCCCGATTCAGTTGCAATTCGCTCTCGCTAGCGTAAAAGAAGAGATTACCGCCACTGAGTACATTGAGAATTTGAGCAAAGAGATCGCTCGTCACACAAATCTGGAGACGGAATCCTCATGGGCCTATGCATGTAATATCAATGATGAGAATGAGCGCAAGAAGAACGAAGTCGCTGCCGATGTGGCCAAATTCATGAAAGAAGTGGCCACCGATTTACAGAAATTCAATTGGCAAACATTTAAATCGGAAAGCTTGCGGCGTCAATTCAAAATGCTTACAAAATTGGGGTACGCAGCGCTCAGCGAAGCCGATTACGCTGAGTACTTGAGCGTCATGTCTACTATGGAATCGAACTTCGCTAGAGTGCGCATTTGTGACTACAAGAATGCCACCAAATGCGATCTATCGCTCGATCCCGAAATTGAGGACATCCTTACCACCAGCCGCGATCCAGAGGAGCTTAAATATTACTGGCGCGAATTTTACGACAAGGCTGGCACAGCGGTACGTGGACCCTACGAGAAATATGTTGAGCTGAATACCAAAGCGGCTAAGCTTAACAGTGAGTGCAATAGTTTGATGGTTGTGCAGCTTTCCTTTTAAGGAATTTTTTTCTTTTTATTTCTTCTATTCCTACAGATTTTACATCTGGCGCTGAACTTTGGTTGGATGAGTACGAGGATGACACCATTGAGCAGCAACTTGAGGCCATTTTCGACGATTTGCGTCCACTGTATCAGCAAGTGCATGGTTATGTGCGTAATCGTTTGCGTCAGTTTTATGGCAATGACGTCGTGTCTGAGAAGGGCCCCATTCCGATGCATTTGCTGGGCAACATGTGGGCCCAACAGTGGTCGAGCATTGCCGATATTATTTCACCTTTCCCTGAGAAGCCGCTCATTGATGTCACCGATGAGATGGTTGCACAAGGCTACACGCCATTGAAAATGTTTCAAATGGGCGATGATTTCTTCCAATCGATGAACTTGACTAAGTTGCCACAGTAAGCTTTTTCAATTGTTTTTCTTATACAAATTTCCTGACTCGAAACAACTCTGCAGAGATTTCTGGGATAAGAGTATCTTGGTGAAGCCTGACGATGGTCGTGATTTGATTTGCCATGCTAGTGCTTGGGACTTCTATTTGGTAGATGATGTGCGCATCAAGCAATGCACACGTGTAACTATGGACCAACTCTTCACTGTGCACCACGAATTGGGACACATCCAATACTTCTTGCAATATCAGCATTTGCCGTTCGTCTACCGCACTGGTGCTAATCCTGGTTTCCACGAAGCTGTCGGGGATGTGCTCTCGCTCTCGGTATCTACACCAAAACATTTGGAATTAATCGGCCTGCTGAAGAACTATAAACGCGATGAAGAGGCACGCATAAATCAACTCTTCTTGGCTGTACGTAAAATTGATGTTTCTTTGTGGAAGAAAATGCAAACTAAATATTTTATTAATAGGCACTGGATAAGATTGTCTTTCTGCCCTTCGCATTCACCATGGATAAATATCGTTGGGCACTGTTCCGTGGAGAAGTGGACAAAAAGGATTGGAACTGTGCTTTCTGGAAGCTGCGCGAAGAGTACTCTGGCATTGAACCACCAGTAGTGCGCACTGAGAACGACTTCGATGCACCCGCTAAATATCACGTATCCGCCGATGTAGAGTACTTGAGGTAATGTTTATAGCTTTCGCCCCATTAATTTTCCCAAATTTAACCATCTTTAGATAATACAAATCTTTCATTTTACAGATATTTAGTTTCGTTCATCATTCAATTCCAATTCTACAAATCCGCTTGCATCAAGGCTGGCCAATATGATCCCACCAATCCAGAATTGGCTTTGGATAACTGCGACATCTATGGCAGTTTCGAAGCGGGTCAAGCTTTTAAGTGAGCTTTATTTTTATTTTTTTACAGGAATTTTTAGTACAGCGACGTAAATACTTTTTTTTTTTAATTATCAGAAACATGCTTTCCTTGGGCGCCTCGAAACCATGGCCCGATGCTCTGGAGGCCTTCAATGGTGAACGTACAATGAGCGGCAAGGCTATCGCTGAATATTTTGAACCACTACGCGTTTGGTTGGAAGAGGAAAATAAGAAGAACAATGTCCACATTGGCTGGACGAAGTCGGACAGTGAGTGCAAAGTCTCTTAAAAAAATGTATATTTTTGAGCTAATACCTTTTTTTCTTTTCTTTTAGAATGTGTTTCTTCGCAAGGTCGGCTCGTCCTTTAATAACCAAATGAAATTAAATACTGCGTTTTGGCGTTGAGTTTGGATTATTTTGATTTGAAAGAAACTTAATTCCTTAAACAGTTTTGTAAACTTTATATAGAAAAAATTCAGTATTAAAAATTAATACCTAAATAAATAAGATGTGTTTAAAATTGTCTGAAGCTGAGTATCAACTCGGAGGTATTTTTTTAATTGCCGCGATATTCGATAATACTCGATCTTTAGAAGCTTAAACAGATTTGGGAATTAGCTTAACTAATTCTAGTTGATCACTAGAAGGAAAACGCAGAGATTCATTTTGACCCATGAGAAATTATTTCATGTCGGCAAACGAGTCCCGTATAATGACGAATCTAGTCAGGTTTTTTAAATATGTTCCACATTGTCTTCCCGAAGACGAGGTATCTTAGGAACCTCAATCGCATTGTGTACTATGCGTAAAAGACATTAACTCCAATGATCATTTACTCTTAAATTACCTGTTTAAAATACATATAAAGGTAGAAGCGCCTGTCTTAACTATGGGCGTAATGTGGCGATTCCTCTTCTAATTGCCAGAACTTTCAACCCGGTCAAATGGAACCATCCTACTAAATCGGCTTATTGAAAACAAACAGACGTGGCTTTCGAAAGCGTTAATGGAGTCATCGATTTAAGGTCTGTTAAATAATCCTGTCTGCATCTGACTATGCTCGTCAGAGTAGTAGAACAATGCCCGTATGACAAGAGCAAAAGGTGGTCCTAGACCGTTCCTGAAATGTCGGACAAAAAGATGCTGGCTGAGTTAGGTTATGTTGAAGCGGCTGGCTGTATACAATATCGGAGAGTGGTACACTTAGGCCCAGTTCACCTAGAAGTAGGAGCAGTTGGTTGGGATAATAAGGCACGAGAATTGATGAAATTCTGTTTCGCTTAGGTCTGCTGTACAGACAAAGAGGTGTTAATGAAATGGGCGTTTTTTGCCCGCGAACGGGCAGGACAGTGACATATGTAGATAGTTTCCCGGTAGGTCCATTCTGCTACCATGTCTTCACATCAAGCAGTGTACCGTTATAACCGAATAAGTGCATTGTATCTTTTTTTGTTAAAGATGCGTCAGATTTGTGGACTCATCGGACACGTGGGTTCTTCCGACCATCTTTTTTTCCTTCTCGACGAAGTGTATTTTAAGCCATCATTGTAGCTAGATGGCGGTATGCCGGCATCGCGAGACGCCACAAGCTCATCTGTTGTACAGTTACCTTGTAAGTGTCTGTGACCCGGCACCCACACAGTGTGGGTAATAGGCTTTGAATATAACTCTTTGAAGACTTTTCTCCACGAGGTTTCACAAGAATCCAGTGACTAAAAAAATATTTGGCTAAGATAATCATAAAAAGCTTGCTGTGTTCAAACAATGCCCCAATACCGAGAAAATCACCTGAGTTAAACTTATTCCACTCAATAACACTTCTGGCTTCCATTGCCAACTACAACAATTGAACACTCCTAAACCATTGAGCCACTTCACAGTTGCATGCGAAAAGCTACCATTTCGCGCTCATTGTTGAGCCGCCTTTAACATTTAGCCAAAGTTACGGATGAATTATTGCAATGTGCGTAAACACTCAAACAATTACTACGAAGGCTAATCACAATGATCAATTTCATGACGGCGCACCTGGACGGTTAGTTAGTTGCCAATTTGAAGCGTTCGCGACCGGACGTAAGAGTGGTGTGCTGTGGCAGTAGTGGCTTAGAGGTTTGATATGTAGTTGAAGCGCTAACAAAAGATGTGGCAAGCGTTTAAAGTGTGAATTAAAAAGTAAAAAGTGTTCAAATTTAATTGAAATAAAAGAAATTGTGGAGCAATTATAAATTAAATATTATTATTGTTTTAAATAGCTTTCATAGCGCTTACTGCAGCTTTGTTGAAAGTGAAATGTGCTGGCTTAAACAATGACAAAACGTATGCCACTAACAAACAAGCCATCATTCGTAATGAATCATAATTACGTGCGAGCTTGTTGAAGCAGGTAGCAGAATTGAAATGCAACATACGAGTACTTACATATGTACATACTTATGTATGGGAAGCGCAATTTCGAGTTCAGGCATTACACCGGCAAAAATTCATATGACTTATTTAATTTCATAATCAGCTTCTTTTTTGTTATTATTTCGCACTTCAAATCTTAGGTTGTTTATTAAGCATAACTTATTTGCATTTGAAATTTGCATTTATTTTTTTCTTTTTATCTAAGCTGAGTAGCAATTAAAGACAAGTATGTAGGTTTATTTACCCATGACTAACAGACTTTTAATTTTACAAAATTTTGCAATGTTATTTGTGTAAATTGTGCTGATTGTGAACTCGATTGTTCTTACTTAAACGTGCCGCTTAATTTTTGAACATTGTGCAAATACAGCTTTAAAAGAATAAAATAAACGCAATGTATGTTATAGAAGAATGTACTAGCAAGAAGGTTTCAAACTTTTTTTGAGCCTGAGAAACTGAACTAAATACTAGAAATTCGAGACTATTTTTGACCGATCAGAATAAATTCAAAATGTTTGAGATCAGTACGTAATAAGGTTACCGATTTTGTTCTTATTTAATTTATTTTCAATGTAATTTAAAGTTTTCAGGTCTGATTTCTGACTGAGTTTGCCGATTGCTTCAAAACGTTTATGCGTTAAAGTATGCAAAAAAATTACCGACATGAATACGCCGTGCGACAAAAAAAAAACAAAAAAAAAACAATTTCAAAACACATGAAGCAATCAATGTACTCACGAAACTATGGGCCAAGTATAGTAAAACTGCATTTTTAGTTTTTCTCTTTGACTTCAGGATTATTAAAAAGACTTTGTAGTTTAAAAGATATGATTAATTCCAAAAACTATTAAAGAAATTCAGTGCAATGTAGAATAACAATATGTTTACCAAATGAAAGATCAAATTCTGTAGATAAAATAAAAAAATTAAAACGGCGGTTAACTTCTTAAAATAACTACACAAAGCAAAAAGTTAACATGATTTTTTCAAACAGAACAGAAACATAGAAATTAGAACTCCGGGAGATCGTAGTATTTTTGTAATACTAAATTCGAATATGTCAAATCAACTGCCAATTTCTCTAAAATTAAGAAAATCTTTTTGAAAATACCACTGATTAGGTTTTTTGAAATGCCGATCACGAATTTTATGTCAAATTAAAACCCTGACAGTTGGCAGCTGTCAAATGGACTATGAATTTTTCTAAAAATAAGACAATATTTTTCAAAATGCCACTGAATAGGTTTTTATACATGCTAATCAGGAATTGCGTGTTTAATTAAAAGCTTAAGCGTTTATGACTGGCGAAGGCGCTGTCAATTTCTCTAGATATAAGAAAAATTTGCCTCGAATTAAACGTACTTAGTTTTAAGGCTCACTGCTCCTGAGTTATGTATTACATTCAAAATTTTTCTGTTGACAACTTTCAATGTCAATTTCATTTGAGTAACAAAAAATGTTTGTTTAGCTAAATTTTATTTATTAAATACGACCATATACGGAAGCCCGCGGCTATTCAAATATCATAAACGGGTTAGTAACTGGTCGAACAAATACTTTCCGAATATTCGGTTAACCGAATAACCGATTATTCGAATAATCTTAAGAGTCCTCATACCGACCTATAGTTCTTATATTGCAATAGATTGAATTTTTGGTTAAAAGTTACAAAACTCTGCTTGTTAGATGCGAAGTTAATCAGAAAATTCTTCTATGGTTTTCTAAAATTATCGTATATTTTCTGCAGGTCCCTTAATAAATTTTGAGAAGAGGATAATCCGACCAGCTCTATATTTACTCTCTATGAATTATCTATTTATATTTTGATTTTCTGCTGTTGATTAAGAAACTCACCCTATATAAATAATCACAAGCAGAATGCGTTCTCTAATATTACTTACATTTCTGGTAAGTAAAATAAACTTTATTAAAAAATATCCACTTAAATCTAATACCCCCGACCGCAGCTCCAATGGCAACTACATACAGTCACAGCGTCGGAGAACTCAACTGCTGTGCTCACTAAATTTCTAGCAAATGTTAATCAAAATCTCGCTGGGCTCTACAATCGTGAAGTGTTCGCCAACTGGCAGCTAGAAATAAAAGGACCAAATGATTTATATGCGATCCTGCAGTCAGAGCTTGCCAGCGAAGAGATCATGAAATACATACAAAGTATAGCCGCCAAATGTGCTAAGTTCAAACGCCTAAAAATAGGCAACGAACAACTGCAACGCGAATTAGCGCAAGTGCCCGAAACTGGCTACGAAGCTTTGCCGGCTACGGACCTCAAATTGATGTACATCGTCACCACAAATATGGGTCACATCTACAAGAATACGAAATTATGTGCATTTCATGATCGGCGACAATGCAATTTGACTTTGATACCAGCGGTGCAAAATATTTTACATAATAGTGACAATGTTTCGGAAATCGAGTATTATTGGTTGGAGTGGCGTCGCAAGACGGGCATGGCGGCGAAGGAGGATTTTGCCACATTTGTGGAATTATATCGGAAGACAGCGCAATTGAATGGTGAGTTGAGCAATTGGAAAGTTTTTTTTTTGTGAATGAACACCTTAAATACATTCATGCAGGCTTTGAGACACCATCCGAGTTTTGGTTCAAGGACCTGGAAGAGGATGGCACGCAAGCGGCTAGCATGTTGGCGCAATTTATGCAACGCTTGCAACCGCTCTTGCAGCAATTTCATGCTCATGTACGTGGCCAGCTGCGTAGGCTATATGGCGAGGAACTGATACCGCGTTATAAGCCGGTTCCACAAAATCTTGCAGAGATTTTCATCGGCAACGCCTATCGACGCGCTGATCCTGAATGGTATATAGAATTTCCTTACCCCGAAGTGGGCATGCCAAACATAACTGAGGGTCTGCTGCGACGTGGTTTGAATAATGCACAACGCGTTTTCTGGAATGTTGCAGACTACTTTCGCTCGCTGGGTATGCCCCAAATCGAAGAGTGAGTGTGCAAAGCATGCATATAAAAAAATAAAATAAAATTAAATAAAAATATTTCTGCTTTTCAGCACATTTTGGTCCGAAAATGCACGTCCAAAGGCCGATTTGGATGAAGAG